ATAATAATATATGTTTATAAAATCATTTTTTGTGTTCTATCACATTCTATTTTGAAATTGACAAAGATTGAAGGTTTTCTTTCTTTCTCACTCTTATTCTCGGTCGAGTGAATTTCGTGTTCCGGGTGGTGGCCACCGGAAGTTCTTTCGTCTCGAGCCGTCTCTTGTTTTTCTTCTTCTTCTTCTTCTTCTTGCACACCCCTCTCTCACCCTTGCTTACCTTGTTTTCTTTTCTACCCTCCAATTGGTCGTTCGTTTCTTCGCACTTTCTTACGCACGCGTGATTTCTTGCGTCAGGATTTTAATCTCTGGAGAAGGTAATTCGATTTTATGGACCGTCGCTTGATATCAAGAAAACCCATTAAGAAAGTTTTCAAGGGAATACGTATTCGCTTTTATTTTTTTTTTTTTTTCATTAATTTTTTTTTTAATATTTATATATATCTTCTAGAATTAGAATTTTTCTTGTTTATAAGAGTCAACCTGTGACAATGATCATTGCATAATACTTCTTCAAATCTATTTATCTTTCTGTTTCTCTGAAAGGGGGATGTTTTTTGAATATTCTATTTCGTTACTGAGAAAAGAGAGAGAAAAATATTCCTACCTTTCTAATTCTTATATTTTTATTGTTATCTTTTATTAATATTCTAATTTTCTTTCCTCTATAATTATTTCTCAAAATTATCTTTTCAAACGTTAAGATAAAAAACTAACTTAAGATGTTATATGTATATTCGAGATGATTTATTTTCTTTCATTTCTTTTCCTATTCCTTTTTATATACTATATATATATATAGCAGGTGCTACGCTATAAAACGTACAGTCCATGTAAATTATTATGCAGTGTTTATTTAGAAAAATTATTTCATAGATGAGAATTATAAATAAATTATTATAGCAGATAAAAAATAAGGTTAGTTATATATATTTGAAATAAGTATTAATATGTGTTAAATATATTGATACAAAAAATTCAGAAAAATACGTGAGAATATATATATATTGATTAATAATAAAAATTGAACAAAAATAAATGATATTAATCCGATAAAATAATCTATTTAGTATTTAACACGAGAGCAATGTATGATCTACGACACATGCGGTTTAATATCGTTATCACGAGGGTAGGTAACATCAGTTTCTTCGTGTATGCGTTTATATACATACATACATACATACATACATACATCCTAATATATACTAATGCAGAAGCTATGAGCACACATGTATACGTTAAAAAGAGATTACTATGTATCTGGGTCGCTCGGTCTTAGTTGAGTTAACGTGAGAAAATCTTGATAATACCATTAAACTATACTATTCGAGAAAAATACAATCGAATCTATTTTTTTTTTACTTTTAAACAATTCTATATATTTAAGAATGAACACACAATAATATATAATTAAAAAAAAAAAAATGGCACATAATTATAATATTATTATTAAATGAAATAAACGATTACGGGGGATACTTAAATTCAACGAGATTGTTTTATGAACATAATGGATATTATAAAAAGTATGAAAATAAAACGAAGAGAAAGCAAATGACATAAAAGAATTATGACTGGACCAAATGAAATATATTAAACCGTAACTATCTCTTATCTACGACAATTTAAAAGCCGTTTCACCGGCTAAGGCCATTGTTCTCAATCGTTCTACTATAACTACAGGTGCATTGCGTAATGCTATTGCAAACTTAATCTAGACTATTATTAAGCGATGCAATTCTAAAAGAAAATCGTTGCCACATTCCAACGATGATTGAACGATTACCTGGGATGCAATCTAAAAATCTTATCTTTAATTAAGATTTTTAATAATCATTTTTTTGGAAAGTTAAACGACAAGTAAGTCGAGTCAATGTTTGATCGGACGGGTCACCCATCATTTAACAAGGGTGTGTGTGTGTATTTTTTATAAATTCAAACAGGAAGTTGAAAAGTGTAAGCTTGAATATAAATAATAAATATCCACACACATTTCTGTGTGTGAAATTAACTTCTTGTTCTATCTTACTTTAATATTTCATATCTTTTTCGTAAAATCCGTTCTTATTTCTCTATTTTCGACGAATAGAACAGTAATATTAGATTAGATCGTACGTGTCCACCCACACACACAACGCACGTTCTAAGCAAATTCTCAGTGGCAAAGGTCAAGCTCGTTATCGTACTTCAGATTCGTCATAACTGACACACACACACGTCACATTTCTGTACTGGTTACTACGTCCGTCATAAAAAAAGATGATTTCGTTGAATCTTTACGATAGAAAGAATATTTACTATCACGTATAAATATAATACATATTCCTGTCACGTTTGCATCGTTGAAAGAATCCTAATCAAAAACACAACCTAATTACTTAACTTAAATATACTTATATTTTCTGAATTATTTACAAACTATTAGGCCTTGTTTTTTTTCTTTTTTTCTTTTCAAATCATAAGAATATTATCGGATAAAACGAAATAAGATGAAAAAAAATCGTTTAGATTAATCAAACAAATTGGATTATATCATTAATTAGATATAAATTAACCGGAAGAAAATTTATTAACCGTAACAAAAAAACTGATTGTTAATCTTAGCAAACGAGAAACTCGGCGAACTAATTTTCTCGGCTCGGCTCAAATGTGAAAACGAGCTACGGAACAATGCGTTTTAACATAATTAATGATGAATATACTAAGTTCGCCTATAAGCAAGTAAAGAAGATTTAAATGCTCATTTCGAATAACGTTATTCCGCTAATTTTTGTATCTTTTCATTTTGCGTCTTGTATAAACGAGCAGTAAAGATCGTTAGTCTATCAATATTTTACAATCAATAAAATGTTATCTAATTAAAAATAATATTTTTTAACAAGAAGAAAAGATATTCTCTCTCTCTCTTTCTCTCTTTTTCACTCGTTTAAATTCTTGTAGTTTGTTTAATAGCTAATATTAACGTGAATTAAAAAATCTTTATTACATTTCGTCGAGAAATACGAAATGTAATTAAATAATAATTACATCCCGGTCGTAGAAATTACGGAGACAGACAAATAATACGAATAATAAATGAAAAAAAAAAAAAAAAAGGGAAGGAAACTTGCCTACGATAATTAAATTAATAATAATAACAATGATTCTCGCAATGTTTATAATCGTAAACTAAGATATCTTATCGCGATAGTAAAGAATGGAAAACACTGATAATAGAAACCGTCACTAACACGAATGAAACTTTAACGCAATCGAGTCAATTCGAGATATCGGTCTATACTCACGAACGTGTATTATAATAACCGCCATGAGAAAACCATTGTTAGAATTTCATTTGTAGTATTACATATTACGTAGGATAAAACAATATTTTTCTCTTTTTATGATTCTTTATACTTGACCGAATATACGGGTCACTTATAGATGATAATATAATATATAATAATATCTATAATTGTGAACATATTTTTTATATAAAAAGGTATATTATTTATTTATTTATTTTATTTATTTATTTATTTCGGGTTTGAAGAGTTTCCGATATAATTTTTCTTTTTATAAAAATACAATCATAACTCTTATATACTTTATCCAAATATATTTTAACTTCAAATAAAATTGAAAATAATTTTTTGATCTAATTAACAACATAACAATTCACTTCTATAAACTAATCCAATTATCTAAAAAAAGAAAAAAAAAAACAAACAAACAAATCTAAGTTCATTACTTTGTTCTTTTTTCCCTATATAAAAAGGTATATATATATATATATATATGTATAATATAATTGTCCAATAAAATAATATATTGTTTAATAATTATTTATTCTGCATATATATGTCAGATAATATAAAAAAAACCGGACAAGTGTTGATGAATCATTTTCTTACATGCATATATATATATATGCCTTCCGTTCATTTTTATCGACACACCTGCACCTTTCGGTCTCCTCTTCTTAATTAAGTAAACAGTCATCCCTTCTTGGTACGAGTCGCAAAGGAACCGGAAGTACAGTAGCGAAGAATGAATCCTTGCTATTTAATATTCCTTACAACGTTACGACTGAGTATGGTATTTTACAGCATATCCTATTCCTACAATACATACTTATGATAAATTATTCGTATATGTATATGCAATCCTTCATCTAACAAATAAATTTTTCAACTTTTCTTAACAATTAAACCCTTCGACTGCTATTAACGCATATATGCGTTTGATAAAAATTGTCAAAGTATTCTATCGACGCATATAGGTGTTCGTAAATATTAATATTGGTTTGCGTATTGTTTATTGTTTTAAATCTTGTCGCATGAAAATAATATATAAAAGAGAACAACAAAAAGTTTAATTATTAAATACAATCTATTTTATTAGATTTGAGATTTTTTAATAACTATCAATCACAACGAAAACATTCGAGCTAATCAATTAATTGTTTATCTCGTCTAAAAATAAAATGATTAATAAACGTGTCTTTTAAAGGAAATCGGACAGATTGAAAAATTTGTTTTAAAACGTTTGTTTTGATCTCATTGAACGTTTCATCCCTTTAATTCGAACTAATAATAAACTATTCCATTCGTAGAAAATAATTCAGTTGAATGTATTCAACACGTAAAGTGTTAAAGAAATGCGAGTCAAAGAGTTTGAATAAATAACATACAATTGATATATTGTTTCTTTTTATTTACAGCTGGTTCAGCTGCTGAGAGTGGTTATTTTGGACCTTGGAGACAATGCAAGATTCTTTTATATCAACGAGAAAGATGTGGCCAAGGTGTATCAAGGTTTCAACCAGTCTGTAAGTTTTTCTTCGAAATTAAATGACATATATGAAATAAATATGTCATCCCTTCCTAACTATTCACCTCTATGGATAAATATATTTAATAGAATATTATACTACTGTTTTTGTGCGTGTGTGTGTGTGTGTTAGTGGCTGTGTGGGTAGCTGGATTGGCTGCTGCTGCTGCCTCCACGTTACTCGCATTATTGGTTGGCCTTGCCGTACTTCAACTTGCCATGGCCTCATCAGCGAAGAAGGTTGTCATTTCGTATAGCACTGCCCTTATCGGCAAGGTCGCCTTAGCAACCTTGGCAAGTGAGTATAAAAAAAGACAATACTAAACCTACAACACACGGTCAAACGAACCGCGCCCTGTAATTTCTAATGAATAAACTAAATTTTTTGTTCAATCCTCTAATTTGTCAAAAATATAATAAAAACTCTTAAAAGTTACATCATTTATATTCTTAAGTAAAATAAAATACTTTCTTCGTGATATCCAATTAGTTTAAAATCTCATATATGTGTTTTATTTTTCTTTTTAAAAACGGTGTCATTAAGGTATCGGTATGTTTAATATATTAAATAAATAAATAAATTTAGATATTATAATTATTTTATAATTTTCTTTATCTGAGAAATAAATGTGTGTTTAATTTTTCAAAATAAATAAAACAGTATATACGTAGAGTAACGTAAAGGGGTACTTTGTACTGTATACGAGATACAGGATTTATAACAATAGATTAGACGATATATTTCCGGTGTTTAGAATATAGAAATGAAATGTAAATTTATCGTTTAAGAAGATTTAAGAAACGAGACCTTGATACTGGTGGAATAATAAAAGGAAGGAATCCACCATGAATTCCAGAATGCGCATTCGAGTAGAGAAATCCCTTTTTCCGTTCTTACATCTTCGAGAATCGTTTCATAATCCACCGGATACGCTAGAATTACTAGTCGCTTGTGCTGCTTAGTGGCCTACTTACCCGTACTCTAAGAATCGAATGTCTATGATAGATCTTATTACGGTAATATGATATTTTCTAATGTCATAGAATCAACTACGTTCATGCACATATATTTTTCATCTTCTCGACTATCAATATTAAATACCGAAATACGCGGATAAACAAAAAATTCCTAATTCTTTTTGTTTTCCAGCATCATTGGCAATCGTAGCTGCGAGTTTATTTGCATTGCAAACGGATGACACAGCAAACAGTTTTGTTATTACGAGAGGAGAGGCTTTTTATATGCAGGTAAGATATTATTCAATAAATTCCCCATTTTTTTTTGTTCCAAACAATTAAGACAACACATTTTTCATCAAGAAAACAAATGTGTTGAAAGTGGATTGACTAAACACACAAAAAACAAAAATTCGAAGTGTCCGAATACTATAATAACTTATTTTTGAAGTTCTACTTCTTTTGGCGCGCGTTTTTGTAAAGTGAATTTAGATGCGACCGAAAAAAATCGACACCACGAAGTTGTCGATAATTACGATGCGCGGGCAAAACAATTTCAAATTTACCAGCATGAAGTAATTCGTAAATAAATCAATTAGATCGTACATATTAATTAAAACCTTTATCAATGGTATTTAATATCTTCATACATTTTATTTTAACATTATATTGTTACGCGAGATAATTGAAGTTACTTTTGAGGTTATGTTCGTTTTGGTACGCTAAAGAAGTATAACTTTTTACGTGCATACATAAGTACACACACACCAAGTTTTGTTTTTTTTTAATCGAACCCACATACCCACACGTATACTTATGTAGGTAGACATAGGAATTACCGTTATTCCGAAGTAGTTTGCTCATAACACGCAATAAGGAAGAGAGAAAGAGAGAGAGAGAGAGAGAATGCGAATAGTAATGCAACGAGTAGTAGTAATGTAGTAGTCCCCCCATAGAAGCTTCTCGTTTTTATTTGTCATTTCTCTCGGCTTTAATAGAACCTGTTGCGCCTATCGGACGGAAGAAAACCGTTCGTTGATCTATCATCCTCTCCTCGTACCGTCTATCTCTCTTTCTCTTACATCTACAGGTGTAACGAAAAGAGAAAAATAGAATAAATAAAATGGGGGATGTGCTGCTGATGCTGCTGTTGCATCGTTTGTAGTATCTACCGTATATACCTGTTGCGAAACTAATATTTCCTCTAGGATATGCTAAATCATTCATCACAACTATTTCTTCAACGTTACCATCTGTTAATACATAACAAGATTGTTCCTTTTCGTTGTTCAATCAATCCTCAATTTTATTCTATTTTCAACAATTAAAAAGTACGTTCTTTGATTAGATACTTATACTAATAGATTATATATGGACCGTTTATTTTGAAAATGATTGTAAGTCCATTTTCTGTTGTTTTGAGAAAATGAAAGGTTTGCATATTGGTTAATTTATAAATATTCATTAATTATATCAAATTTGACAATGTTTCTATTAATTAATTGATATGTAATTTGATTATATATATATTACTTTTATGTAGGATAATTTAATTAGAATAATGTATATTTACAGGGGCTGCAAAATAAACGGTTCATATATATATATATATACGATTAGTCAAAGATTAGGAAAGAAAAACATCGATTTTAAATTGTTTATATATAAAAATCATACTCCATAACAATGAAACAAATTTCTTATGAGTTATATTTCTAAGAATAGAGATATCCCATGAAATGTGTTATCGCACGAGTTAGGATTTTGAAAAGTGTAAAAGTTAGGCTTGGTATACACGATCGAAGCATTAAATATTTAAAAGCCACCTGATATCGTGGCCGAGACAACGAAGATTGCAACGAAGACGACGATTCGTTCGCAGGTGTTCTTTAAGCTTGTCCTCGAAGGGGGCAACAGGAGGATTGGGGGATTGGGGGAGGAGGTAAAGAACGTTTAGTATGTGTGAGAGCACCCACGAGTCGTGAACACTTTAAAAACAATGAGACGACATTGGCGGTCCGGCAGTGAACGTTTCGATTTCGAACAGTCGACACAAGCTCTTACTTACAATTTTCTTTCTTTCTTTTCTTTTTTTTATATTATAATTACGCGCTGTGTGAAATTTCTTGGTTTTTTTCTTTTTTTTACGAGAAAGTGGTTCAGCGATTTTGTTTCGTCAATCATTAACAAATATACAAAAACCAGGTGGATTAAAGAAAAGAAATTCAGTGAGAAATCAATTATTTTTCTTCTTTTAATTTTACATTTCGTTGTTAAAACTTTGTTTGTAAGATTATATATTATTTTTGAAGGGTATAAAATAAAGAGAGGAAAACTCGTTTGAAAAATCAATAGATCGATGTATACGTGTATATTTGTTTCGTATGATTGTGAGAACATACATAACTATCTTTAGACATCAAACTTATGATCATGATGTTGGAGTTACATCATAGTGTTGGTAGTGGTGGTGGTGGTGGTGGTGGTGGTTTTGTCAGTATGACGGGAAGGAGAAAACGTAGTCTTTTGAAAGGTGCCAAGGACGAAATCGAATTGGATAGAAGGAACAAGCAAAAACAGGGCAAGGTAAAGGTCATTTTCTACATCTCATGTTTGAAACGTGAACCAAACGAAGAGTATGAAAATTGCTCATGGCCTTGAACGTAGTCTAGACGAGATAGTAGAAAGAGACGTAGAAATTAACTAAAAGAGAAAGACAGTATACGTCTATAGTTTTATTTCACGCAAATAGAAGGATTGTTCATGCACGATGAATCATTATACAGATTCGTATCTTCGTTTTAGAAATAAATGGTGTTTTTCTGATTTTAAAAATGTGTCTATGCGATCCGTGAGAAAACATTTTTGAAGTTATACTTCTTTTGGCGCACACTTTTGTAAAGTGAATTTAAATGCGACCGAAAAATCGACACCACGAAGTTGTCGATAATTACGATGCGCGGGAAAAATAATTTCAAATTTACCGGCATTAAGTAATTCGTAAATATAAATAAATTAGATTGTACATATTAATTAAAACCTTTATCAATGGTATTTAATATCTTCATTTTTTATTTTAACATATTATATTATCGTCTTTTTGACAAATGTAGATTATTGAAGTTATTTTTGAGGTTATGTTCGTTTTGGTACGCTAAAGAAGTATAACTTCTTACGTGCGTACATAAGTACACACACCAGTTTATTTTTTTTCTTCTCAAGTATAATATATACGTATATATATATATATATGATATACAATATATATCTACTAGAAAAAAATTATATTTAACAAATATTTTCCGAACTAAATATCCATTGAATATATTTCAATTGCTTTTCTATAGAAAAAGAAAAAAAAAAAAAAAAACAACAAAATCTTTTATTCCTTTTCCCTGTCCTTTTATATTTTTTCTCTTCCTTTTTTTTTATTATTATATTTTCTCGTATAACCGAGACCTCGTCAAGATCATCCATTCGGTTTTTATCGCGCTATACAGGAGTTGTATAAAAAGTGATATAAAAGGGAATGTGGTAATTGTTTGCCTTGGTTTCTTATTATTTACGCAAAGATGATTTTAATCAAAGAGAAAGTATATAACATTGAATTATTAATTATTACACGTAAAATGAACAATAGTTTAACATTTTCTTTGTTAATCGTTAATTAAATTATCATCATCTCATTCCAGGCTTGTCTCTCCGTCTCTCATTCTCTCCTTTTCTTATCCAAGACTATTTGTTTTTATATGTGTGTATATGTCATATTAAATTATTCGTTAGATCAGTCAGGAAATTTAAACGTACAAACGATGTGTTTGAACAATACCTAACAAACGGGGAATTGGATTTTGTATTTGACACGAGATCTGTGAAAAGAACGTTTCAATGGAAACTTTTTAACGCGAGAATGTGTAATTTCGTACAAGCGAAATAATTATATTCGTTAAATTAATATTTTTTATTTCTCTATACATTTTTTTTCTTTTATATAATATTATACCTGTATATTTGTTTTGTTTTTTTTTAAATATATTTTCAGTAGAAAAATTTCTTGTATAGAAGAGAGAGATAACAGATATTTTTCTATAGAAAATAGATCAGAAATTTGTATCTACTTTGTATGTGCGTTATTATTATTATAATAATAAGTTTAATAATAATAACATAATTTTCATTTCCGTTTTGTTTCACCTATATATTATTTTGTACTAAACTGTAATAAATGGCCTTTAGGGAGCTTAGGCTCTAGGGTCAATAAAATATTATATTAAATAAATAAATAAATAAATAAAAATAATCGATTGATGCGAAAAATGATTTCACGTTATAGTTAGCTGCCATCGCCTTGAACTTTGGCGTACTCGTCTCTGCCGTTTACGAGGGAATTTATGCCAGAAGGGGTGGCGACCCTACAAAGATAAGGACCATCCCTGATCCTAGGGCAGCTACCATAAATAATCCAGGATATCGAGAACACCATCGACCGACAAATGGTATGTGTTTTATTTAACCATTATCATAACTTTATATACGATATATCTTACAACTTTCATTGTTATTTTTATTATTATTATTACATTTAAATATACTTTTCTCTAAACAATACAAAAATATATTGACCTTAACGCCTTCCTTACTTTTTTATAATTAAAAACTAATTAATTAAACGTAACTAAAAAGATTGTAGAAAAGGAAAGACATTTTCTGAATACCAAATAAGAATAAAAAAAAGACAAAGAGTTCTTGAAGCTTATAAAAGTAAAAAAAAAGGAAACGAAATTCCGATATAATGTAATAAAGATGACGAGAAAAAGAGAGAGAGAGAGAAAAAAATTAGGAAAATGCCCCTACGGCAGGCAACCCTTAGTACTGCGCGAACTTTCAGCATATGCACCTATGTATACAGGGTGTCCCACATAAATCTAGTCACGATTTTTCAAATATTTACATTAACCTGACAAAAAAATACTAAAGTTCATTTGTTTTTGATAGACTATACATTGCAATAAAAAAAATGTTCGAAGAAAATTATTTTTTTAATGTTATTTAAGGCTACCTTAATTTTTTTAAACAGCACTTAGTAATTTTAAATTTACAGTATTATAGCTCATTTAAATACGAACTCAACGATATAGTATACCATGACCTGTGGATGATTTTCTATAAGTTAACATTAAACTGCGAAACCCATGAGAGAGAATATACTTTTCATATTTTTTATACTTATAGCAAGCAGATTTTAAATATTTTTATATTAAATTAAAATACACTCTTTTGTCTATGGCTAAAATATCTTTTCGAGTTATAAATCAATCTGCAAAGGTTCAGAAAATGTCAGAGAATGCAATGCTGTAAATTGTGCATCTTTACAATCTCTTTGAAAAGTTTTGGTAAATATTTTTTATACTAAAAGTGAATAGATTTTAATGAATCTTATATTAAATTAAAGTACACTCTTTTGTCTACGCGTAAAACACCATATCGAGATATAAATTTAGCATGTGAAGTTCAGAAAATGTCAGAGAATGCAATGCTGTAAATTGTGCATCTTTACAATCTCTTTGAAAAGTTTTGGTAAATATTTTTTATACTAAAAGTGAATAGATTTTAATGAATCTTATATTAAATTAAAGTACACTCTTTTGTCTACGCGTAAAACACCATATTGAGTTATAAATTTAGCATGTAAAGCTCAGAAAATGTCAGAGAATGCAATGCTGCAAATCTATGCTATCAAAAACAAATGAACTTTAGTATTTTTTTGTCAGGTTATCGCAAGTACTTGAAAAATCGTAACTAGAGTTATGTGGGACACCCTGTATATTCATGGAGTAAAAAAAAAGTAGAGAGAAAAAGAAAGAAATTGAGAAAATACCCTTGCCGCATGACAACCCTTCGTAACACACGAAAAGTGAACACGTGCACCGTACACTTACATACATGTACATGCTCGTATAATAAATTACGATGTCTTTAGAAATTGACGTGTATGTAAAGCGGAACTTCGAGATACAGGTACTCTTAACTACACAATTACAATTGTTGTGTTGTGCAAACAAAACACACAGAGTAAACAAGGAATATATCTCATTTATCTCTTAGCAAATGCAACATATTTTGTAAAGATTCAACAATGCACTTTTTATTTCTTATCTCTCTCTCTCTCTCTTTTTTTTAATATTTGTTTACAGGATTGCAATTACATAGAAATAAAATAAAGTTAAAATTATAAAACAAATTTCGGAAGGACTATGAAAATAATTTTAATGATATACTGATGATAATAATTGGATCGTATAATGAATAAACAATCAATATTTCGTAGACAATTTTTGTTTAAAATCAATGAATAATTATTCGAAAATATATTAACGATTTTCATAGGTGGAAGTATTTCAATGACGGATGCAAGTGGTAAACCATATGTAGGTGATGCCGGAAATGGTTCGATGGCATCCGTCGCAACGTCAGGAAGCGCAACTAGTGCTGCATCTCCTTTGAGAAGTTCATTGAAGAAACCAAAACCTCTTGGAATTCACAATCCAGGATTTTCAGCGCATAGTCCGACATTGTCGAGGAATGGCTCGCAAAAAAAGGTTCGTATTCAAACGCATTCAACGGAAGTTTAAAGAGAGAGAGAGAGAGAAGAACGCACGTCATTTAGTTTTCTTCTTGACGAGAACAAAATAATTCGTCCGTGAAAAAGAAAAAAATGAAGTAAAAATGCAAAAACTAAAAAAGAACAAAAAAAAATTATAACTGTGATGGACTAAGAAAAATAATCATGGAAATTATTTTTGATTTTATTCACATGACCGCGAACGTGTAAAATAATATATATTTAATTATATTATTGTGCATTTTTTAATTGTTAATATAAATGTAGATTCGTCCAAAATTTCCGATCAAATATCGGTAAGGTAGGTTTCTTTTGCTTTGGTTGTGAACATGAACGCGTGGTGATATCAAACGAATACATTCATATATATATATATATACATAATTCTATATTATTCCGAATTAAATTAGTTCATTAAGAAAAAATAGTAATTATTGTAATTTAATATTATTACGTAGAAATACAAAATTTGTTTCACTGTTAATTGCACGCGAGTCGTAAAAATACATTAACGTATTTAACACGAAAAATTATTTGTTAATTAAATTGGTTAAACTATTAGGTAAAAATCGATCGTTAATTCTATATACATATATACATGTACATGTATATACTCATATATGTATATATGTATAGCGTTATTATTTTTTTATTTGCAAATAGGAACGAAAAAGAAAGATAAAAGGTATGAGATCGTAGAAACAATTAGCAAAATTATTTTTAAAAAAAAGCGATTTTACTCTAAAGAAACGTAGTCTTTCGATTCAATTATTTTTAATGTAATTATATTCAATGAATTAGCACGACTTTTAAAGTTCATTAAAAATGACTTATCGTATCACATCCGTCCAGCCCTAAACAGGCAGCTAAGTACACACAGCGAGTTTTGTAGTATATTGTATACACACATAAAAATATAAATATATATATATATATATACTTATATTTTTTAGTGATTGTTTGAATACAGAGTGGGTCAAAAGTTCCTTACGTGACCCAAAAGTTTTTTTGGTAATGTTTCTAATCAATTACTATTTTTTCGAGACATTTCTGACTTGTAATTTGATTTATTGTTTAAGAAACTCAACTGGTATTTTTACGGTTTCTTAAAAAATATTAATTAAACAATTTCTGGAAAAAGAGAAATTGATTTTAAAATTTACCTATCAAACTTTTGACTTAGCTAGGAATTTTTTGTCTACCTTCTATATATACACATGTAGATATATATAGATACGTATGTACTCAGTTGGATTTTCATGAAAATATCCTCCAGAGTTTATTATTATTATTATTATTATTAACAGAGATATATCGTAGATGATGATGATGATGATGATGATAATGATGATGATGATTTTAAGTTACCCTTCTCCCTTCGTCTCTTTAAAAACATAAAACATAAGTATTATGACTTATTATTCTTTATTATATTTTTTTTTTTGTCATCATATATATTATGATATATTATTATAATTATATTATTATATAATTATTGTTATTATTTTTGTTCTGTTTTCTTTCGAGCATGTACCTACAATTAGAAAAATTTAATTTTTCTTTTTTTTTTTTAGTCTTGTTTGTATTAATTTTAGATTTTTTTATTCGAAAATTAAATATCAAATAAAAGAGATAGAGAGAGAGAGAGAGAGAGAGAGCAGGTCTCACGAAAAATATCCTCATCGCAAAAACGTTCAATTATTATTATTATTATTATAATTATTATTATTATTACTACTAATATTATTTTTTATTATTTTAAGAGTATTATTATTATTATTATTATTATTATCATTGTCACATTTTTTTCGAAACTACAATTTTTCTTCACTTTTGTTTACGTTCTTCCAACATGATACTCTCGCGTCGTATTTATCGACGTAGATATTTAAAAAAAATGGAAGAAAAATGTAGAAATAAATGAAATTAGAAATGAAGTCGTTTGTATGAAAGTAAGAAAAAAAACAAAAAATCAAATTTTGTCGCACACACTTTTGCTAATTATTATATAACCGAAAAATGAGCATCCTTTTTTCAAATAATTGATATTAATTCGATGTATACTTATACATATACATACATATAATATTTTTACATTTGCACACACTAAGAACTGTGGCAAATAACAAAGAGAAAGTACCAGAGAAGAGAATTAAATAAATAAATGAATTTCAGAGAAAAGTTGTTGGTTTCAAAAGTTTCTTTAAAATAAAAATAAAATTCCATTTTTCCTTTCCACAATTAATTATACGAATATATTTAATTATATTACACGCCTGACGATATGTGATACTTCATACGTCATGTGTGAAAATGTTAGCCTATATAGAGGGGTTGCAGAACATTTCTTACCTTCCAGACAACATTCCCAAACTGTATTACCGACGTATAAAGAGTTGCCTATCTGAAGGTGCATTCTGATAATTTGTAATTCTTATCATATGTTTTTCTTTCATAAAAAGTGACTATGAAATATAAACGCTTGAAAATAATGAGAAAATCATTTAGTGTTGTTCATTTACTTGTTTTTTTTTTTTTTTGTTAATTCCGAAAAATATTATATATATAAATTATTAAATTTATTTTAGATATAATAATTAAACTATATTTAAAGAAAGATATTATGTTTAGTAAAAAGAAACAAAAATATATATATACAACATATAAAAAATAACGTAATTATTTTAAAAGAGAAAATAATTGTTTAAATATTGTGTCTTTAATCTGTAAACAAATTTTATCTTATCTTAATCGGACAGGATTTATATTCTCATGGATTATTATTATTATTAATTTATAGACAATGTAGTAAAAAAATTAATCTTCATTTATTAGCTTAAAGATTGAAAAAAAAAAAAAAAAAATAAAAGAAGAAGAGAAAGATAAAGAAAAGCTACTAGATCGTCGACATCATCGTTCGAAGAACATTTCGATTAAATCAACGTTCAGAGACGTCTTCGATTTGTTTCATGTCTTGGCCACGCTTAACCAAAGACATTATATTTATTATTTTGCTATTTTCCACAATTCAATAATAATTATCTAAGACGAGAATCTATTCAATATCTTAATAAATAAATAAAAATAAACAAAAAGTAAAATAAAAAGGAAGAGAACATAATTTTTTTTCGTTAATCTCATACGTCTCAATAAATCACGCGACGATCGATTGAAACAAAATTAAAACAAAAGGACAATTTTATGACCTTTTTACAAATGATTGATTCAAGTAAAAAGCAAGGAAATAAGAAATAGACATAGAGAAAGAAAGAAAGAAAGAAAGAGAGAGAGAGAGAGAGAAAGAATTTGAGCATAGTCAACATAGTTGCGGAGATCTTTGTTTAGGAACCAGCTGACACCTCATTGTCCATATACATCATATTCCATAAAAAAAAAAAAAAAAAGAATTAATTAATGAGACATAATTATGACGGGATTCGAGGAACACTTAGCCAGGCCAGACCTGATATAGGCAGTAAAACAGAGTCTTAGCGTGTATCTACTTAATCGAATAAAAGACGATAAGAAATCTAATTAACATCTTTCTCATTCCTCCTCTACCCCGTAGTTTCCTCTTATAATCGTTCGTATCAAAAGACGACTTTGATAAAAGATTAAGATCGCTATTAAGATTATAAAATGAGAACGAGGATGAGAATTTCAAAAGTAATTTTCACGTCCCTTGGGTGCACTCGAGATCAATTCTCGTCGTTTCCAAACAGGTTGGACGACACCTGTCGAGCCACGTGGATTTTGTGTTGTCGCAATGACCGAACTAGATGCTGTCGTAGATGACATCGTCATCGATGACGTAACTGTCATCGTTGTTGTCTTCCCAGCAAGCGTATCCAAGTCAGGTATATGACGAGTTTGATGCCTAGAGTCGGTGTAACGTCTTTTAGTATATTTCTTGCTCTCTGACGAACTCGTGGTAGACATTGAAGTGGTTACTATACTCGATTTACTATGTTGAAGATTTCCCGAACTTGGATCCGACCTATTAATGTGTAGCATCCTTTCAATATCTGCCGTTTTAGACCTGTAATACGTGGTAGGTATGATTTGAAATGTAATATATTTTATGATGGATTTTAATTAGGTATTATGTTGATAAGTTTATATATATATATACCTCAAAACGGCACCACCTATACTCGTGATGCTAGGCGTGTAAGGGGTAGCACTAGTTCTACTAACTTCTTGATTACTACCCCTAGAAACCTGCCTAACCTCGCTGGATGTGGTAAAGGAGACCCTCTGCAAGACAGCTTGTTGATCAGGAATATATGAGACAGCCGTGACAGCACTGTCAGGGCTAGCAGGAGGGGTAGAAGCCCAAGAGGGTGGGGAACTTGGCACTTGGTCGCCTGACAAGGTTGCCGATGAACCAACTGCGCTATCGCTACCATGTCGACCACCTGTTTATCGTGAAAGAAACATTATAGAATATGAACAAGTTTCTAAATATTTAGCAATTTGATATACAAAGATGAAGACAAATTTGGAAAGAATTTTAAACGAACCTTCGCTACAACCAGATATCGAACGTTGTCTTTGTCTTCTCGGTGGTGCACTTGGTTGTTTAGGTGTTTCCTCGATATAAGGAATGTCTGGATCATCGAGGTTCAATGTGAACGCTCCAGACATTGGTATAGTTAAACTAGCTGTGATCACCATCGGAGAGGATCTTCTACGAGGATCGGTTGGATCCTCGCTAGATCCACTATCAACGCTGTTACTTCTTCCTTCTTCTTTTCTACGAGTTCCAGGCCTTTTCGGACGACGCGGCCTTGGACCAATATCACCACCCACGCCAGCCGTTTGATGCAAACATTCTTCTCGCGTCCAAACCTTGAAAAGAAAACATATGAATAATAACTTTCTTATCGTAATAGATATTACAAATTTTTTACAATTGGAAGTAAATTTACTTTTCTCGTTGTCGTTGTAGCCGGCATTGACGTATTCCCAGATGTTGCAACAGTTTCTTCGACTGAAAAATTTTCTGCTTCGCTACATGGATCAACCTCGTCTCCGCATTGTCTATAGAAAAGAACACAATATACATATATATATAATGATAATTGAAAGAGACACAGACAATTTGATATAAAATTAAGTGAATAAGAAGATAAGATCAATCATAATAATTGATAACTTACTCCTCGGCACGTCGAGAAAGAGCCAGATCTAATTCGGCTGGATGAGTATCCATCATGTGCAGGTACAATTCGTCTAACAATGCTGCTGGTACTGTAAACAACGTCGAAGCATGTTCAAGGAGAGCTCGTACCACGTTTATCACGTCTATTCTCTCTTCTGCTCTCTCTGCTGAAACTTCTGGTCGAGTTTGGCCAGGTTTCACGCAGTGAAGTATATTAGGTGCAAAAACCTACAACAACATATATATTGTATATATATATATGTATGGATGTGTGTAATAATAATTATTATTATTATCTAACTAATATATTATCAAAAAAATGTCTGACTAATAAATACAAAAGTAATGATACTAACAGTAGCTAAATTATTAGTATCCATTTTGTTTCCTGGTATCCATTCGCCAGTTTCATTCTTTTGATCCTCGCTATTTGATGCAACGATACTAAGGAAATGAAGTAATGCCCAAAGTGTCTCGCGATTTGGCGTTGGCAGTAATTGAATAAGATGCTGAAGTGCTTCTTGTTGCAATCGTCTATTCCTAATCTCTGGAAAAAATTATAAGTGCTCGAATGTTACCACAAATGATTGATGATATACATCATCGTGGAAGCGGGAGAGTTTTTTTCAGATTTATCCAGAAATGAAAGAGAGAAAAGCAAATGAACAAAAAAGATGAACAAAAAAATGTTTTTCTTTCTCTTTAAGTATAGAGACAGGGTTCTATCAACACATATCTTTCATAATTTTACAATTATTTCTTTATATTCTTTTTCTTGCATACTATATTATTAAAAACAGTTGAAATGATGGATGACTTTCTTACTTTGAGTATGTACGAAGGCTTGATAGAGATCCCTACAAAGCAGAGGATCAGGCAGGTCTCGAAAAAACTCCTTCAGTAAGGCAGCCACATCGTGAGGACACTGATCAGGACCGATTTTTGTCTCACGACCACAATCGAAATCTTCTCTCAACTGTAATTTTTATAATTCGTCGATTTATCTCTCATTTCTGCTAACATTTCGATTACATTTCTCGATCCTTTGTATTTAACGTTAAATTTATGATATACATAAATATACAATAAATGCAAACATTATCTATAGTGGGATAAAATAAGGGACGGAGGTAACTGGTTATGCATAAATGTTACAAACTAGAACTAACCTGTCTAACTCTTTTTTTCGAAGGTGAAACTCGAAAAATACCCAAGGTACGAAGCCCAGTAGCTTCGAGATGTCTAATGCATTGTCTAACTACCCCTGGTACTGCATCCCATTCGCCTGTTGTTCCTCCCCCGCCACTATCGCTTAATTCGAGGACACCAGAATCACTTCCAGTTAATACTCCTCCACCTTTCGACGGTAATGATTCACAGGAACCACCCTATTGTTGACAAAAATAAAACAAAAGAGATAATCAATCTTTGTATTTTACTTCTATATGAAATTATATTAATATGTATAATATATGAATAATATATATTTATGAATACATAATAATAAATAATAAAATGAATATATTATATGTATATATAAATAATATATATTTGTTATAACGTTTATATCGAAGGATAAGAATAAATGTTGAAGACGAAAACAATGGAAGATATTCACAAAGATAGAACAGAAATAATATACTATTTGAAGGAAAATGGTTGGATTCTAATTAATTCATTGGTTAAAATTAGCGATCTTCTCGATGATCTTGTGTCTATGTGTGTGTGTGTTCTATTTACATCGTCGATCTCTGTGACGTCACGGCATCGGTTCGAGACACACGTGACGTCTTTGTCGACACAATAATTGCATCTGTTCATTCTTCTATTTTCTTCTAGCCTATTCATTACGTAGCCCTATTTTAAAGATGACAAGACAGAATAAAGAATGGACTAGCCATAACTAAAGAATAGTCATCTTCTTTTGATTATTATACCCGTCATGTGCAGTAACCAGGTTAAACATTTACGAGAATTTCTTCGATAGAAGAACATTCCAGTTAATAAATACTAATTAATAATTTTAATCATTAAAAAAAGATAAGATTTTCTATAGATACAAATTTGTCATTATAATCAAAATAATCGATGAAAGAGTAACGTCTTATTAAAATTATTCATGGTAATATATTAATTGTATTAAATGCGACGCCTGTGGATATGCAATCTTTCATACATCGTCGATAATGTTGCTTGCGAGCGCCATCTATCAGTATGAAAATTCCTCTCGGAGTATGTAACCACGATTTTCAGACGCGTTAAATGGAGTTGCATACTCTGAGGGGCAGTTTCATACTGATAGATGACGCTGGCAAGCAATAATACAATATTGTATGGAGTGTTGCATGCATTCAGGCGTATTAATTATAATATCAATTTAATTATTATATATTATGATAATATAAAAAACAAATTGAATATTTATCTTATGAAACATAAGGGACAAGTGTGTGTAAAATATTTTTCAATTATTAAATATAATCATCATTTATGTGTGAATGTCACAATTTTTGGCAAAACATATACGATCGCTCATTCGTGTTTGATCTCGTCATCGTTTTTCTTTCTCTCTCTCTCTCTCTCTCTCTCGTTTTCTCTCTGAAAATTTCGTGAATGCATTCGAACGAAAGAAAATATAGATTAAATGTCGACGCGATGCAGAATTGAACGTGACGTATTTTGTGATCGAAAAATAGATCCGTAGTCGAAGAGCTCGGCAAGTAGCCATCCGATAATCGTCGGACGATTCGTCGTTTGATTCGATGACGAGGAGACGATGATGACGATAAGAATACGATGACGAGATCATTTGGGCGGAGTCGAGACGACTTTGACCGTGGGGCACTTTATATCGTCAATTGCGAACGATCGATTTCCAACGTTTCTCTCCCGTGTATTTCTTTTTTTATCATTACTACGAATCTTTCTTTAAATAGATCTCCTTTCGATCATTGGAATATAATAATAATAATAATAATAATAATAAAAACGATTTACTGCATACGCATAGTGTTTTTTTAGATCATTCAACGAAAATTCTTTGAAGATTTCTTTCATTTTCTCTTGAAAACAATATTACTATATATTTCGCGGAGAAAAAAATGACAAAGCAAATTTTCACGCGACGTTCCTTACTTTTCCTCATTTAAAAAGATCATTCTGGACGATTTCTAAACGTCTAAACCTGTAAGTCTTATATCGGAGCGTGGGTGGATCAAAGACGGTTACGCTACTAGTCGCTAACACTCTCGTCACCGTTACTACAAACCGTATATCCCATTTTATGAAAATAATTACTTTATCTTATCGAGTTAGCTGCTGTTCTCTCTTCGCGAATATCAAATGTTATTTTCTTGCGATTCCCTTGATTTATCTCTGACAATTCGTTGACCCGTACTCCTACTATTATTGCTCTATCATTTTCCTTTCACACAGTTCTATGAATCCCAGTAGTACTATATGAAAAATGACAAGTGATTTTGAAAATCTGCAAACATCTTTTGGCCTACCCTGTAATGGTATATTATATATATTCTTACGTATATCATCTTACTTAAATTTCCAAAAGAATAATATTATTGTCGACAATCAAACAAAGAAAATTCGATCTTACATCTTCAGTTTTCGCTGCAACCGTAGTAGGAGCTTCAATCAGACTGCTAAAACTCGTTCTACTTCCATGTCTACTACTTCTCGTCAAACTACCAACGTCGGCAACTTCCCCAGCAGCGATTCTAGCGATTCTATCGTTCTCAAGACATTGAGAAATTGGTATACCAAAAACTAGACCGCCTGGTGCTGGCTCTAGAAGAAAATAAGAAAAATATTCAAATTAATGAAAGATAAATTTGTTAACAAATATAAACGTTAACACACTAATTGTAAGATAAGAAATATAAATATGAAAATCATTATATCGTATAGAGAGTGTGTTATCTGATCATTATCATCGTTATCTCTCTCTCTCTTGCTCTCTAGATCAGATTATTCTAATAATCTCGATCACTTGGCTCTCCCAAAACGGAGCAAGATCAACGTCGATCTGATCTACGATCGGGCAGCTGCGTTTCTCTCAAATCCACGCGAGTTCGCACTAGTGCATTCATTATTAATTTTTTCTTTACGAGAATATTATATTTTATATTGTGTATTACGATAAAAAGAAATAAACTAAAGAAAAATAATACAAGAAATTTCGTCTACGTCATCATCGTACAATTTCCACATTTCTATCCAGATTAACAACAACAATCACTTCCTGGCGACGTGAGTTCTCGTTGATAATAATTTCACTTGGCCATGAATGTGCTTTACTCCGGCCACTTTATTTTCGGTTCTAAAACCTCACTTCCCCGCCATAGTTGTTATATACTTCACGGAAACGCGTCTTTCGCGACCTTTTTCTTCCAATATAATATTCTTATTTTTCTATTATATTTTATATCAAAATCCTTTCATTTTTTTTTTTGCCAATAATTATTACAAAACCGATGAATTTTATTTTGCAGACGATAGAAACGTGACTTGATCATATACCATCAGAAATCAGAAAACTTGATTATATCAACGTATTGTATATTAAAAAATGATTTTCGAAACGGAATGTTTTCAAATAGAGATTTTTTTTTTTTTGTTATCAAAACTATTAACGTTTTTGATAATCTACTTTGAAGGATGACTAAAAAGAAAAAAAAAAAAATGTTTTGTTAGGTAAAGTTAGACTTTGAAAGGCAGCGAAAAGCTGAAAGGCAACAAACCATGTCTTTATACTGATCCGTTTATAGACTGCAATCTGGGCCACCCCGGCCTCAACTAACCATTCCCTCCCTCTCTCTCTTTCTCTCTCTCTCTCTCTCTCTCTATCTCTTTCATTTTAAGAAACAACAATGGTATACAATCAATTATCACTAAAATTCGCATATTTAAAAATTATAATGAATATTTCTAATATTCATGAAAAATTCTTCTACAAAAACAAACAAATAAAATCGTTGTTCTTGTTTTAACAAACAAAATTATATAAGATCAAACGTTATCGGTTACAACATCATTATACTATAGAGTTTCTTTTACCTTACATAATTTCGTTATAATATTCAATATCATAATACAATTATACTAATTATAACTTATGTTTAACGCGAATGCACATCTGAAAAAATTTTCAAAAAATATAATAATACGTAATGTGTGAAAAATCTAAAAGTAATTGAAAAAAAAATCAAATAAAAATACGTATAGCGGTATGATAATTGATAACAGATTGTTGGCAGACAAATAAGAAAGAATGATTTAAGAAGATAACGGCCTATATGACGAAGTACGTTCGAACGGTTAAAAGTGGTGTTTAAAGGGGCAAGTATCGAGTGAGCGACCTCAACGAGAGAAAGAGAGAGAGAGAGAGAGAGAGTAATGGGGGGGGCGGGGGCGGGGGCGGGGGAGGAGATAGAAAGAGAGACTCCCGATTGACGTCTGGTGTTCCTACGGCACTTCTACCCGACATGAACCGCAAATAAACCTGGTATATGCGGAAATATGCAACGCCACCGAGCACCCCTTGGCTAATTTTAACCAAGCGAAATTGTGTCTCATTCCAGGCTGTGTTCTACCCGTGTGTGTCTTGCACGCTTATTCTAACGTCTCTTCTTCCTTCCTTCCTTCCTTCCTTCTTTCTTTCTTTCTTTTTTTTCTTTCTTTTTTTTCTTTCTTTCTTATACCAGAGATAATAGAAAATAATAGGAAAAAAAAAACTAACAGAAAGATCTTTATCTAGTATATGAAATAATGAATAATTTAATTAGTATAACACATGGAACAAAAGTTACTCGCAAAAATTGAATTAATCTATTATAATATATTAATCTATTTTTTTTGTTTGAAGTTATACTACTTTTGGCGCGCGTTTTGTAAAGTGAATTTAGATGCGACCGAAAAAAATCGACACCACGAAGTTGTCGATATTTATGATGCGCGGGAAAAACAATTTCAAATTTACCGGCATGAAGTAATTCGTAAATATAAATAAATTAGATTGTATATATTAATTAAAACCTTTATCAATGGTGTTTTATTTTATCATATTATCGTATTTTCGCGACATATGTAGAGTATTATATTGTTACGCGAGATAATTGAAGTTATTTTTGAGATTATTTAGGTTATGTTCGTTTTGGTACGCTAAAGAAATATAACTTCTTACGTGTGTACATAAGTACACACATCAGTTATTTTTTTTTTCTAAATTTTCTCTCTAAGCGCTCGTAAATATTAAACTTTTTATTATAATTTAACAATGTTAAATGAAAATAAAGAAATAATTGTGTAACTTAGGTTAAGTTCATGAAAACAATGATTAAATATTTCTTTAAACAATCAGTTGTGTGTATGTATCCGAAAGAAAATCTCTTTAACTGGGTTCTAATTTCGACGATCGTGTGTTTAAAATTTATCAATGAACATTAATGTTTTTCTTGCTATCTCTTCAAAATGCTTGTCATTTTTTAAATAATATATCAAAAAAATTTAATATAAATCTTGGTGAACGACATAAGTAAGAATATCAAGTATCGATTTAAACCAAAGAGATTTTTCTCAAGCATAATATTTCTTTTTGCTTTCTATCTTTCATTCGTTCATTCTTTCTTACTTTCTTTCTTTCTTTCTTTCTTTCTCGAAATATCAAGATATATGGTGTCCGTAATAGTTCCTTCAAAGTATCGAAACGATACGTCCTTCCTTGTAAATGGTTCACGTTCCCGTACAAATAACTCGTATTCTTCGATGGTACTTCGATCAATCTTTATTCGATTGATTTCATTCGTCGCTACACGTTGGTCGCTTGAATTTTCTTTCTTGCAGAAAGAAATCCACGAGGAGATCCCCATAATTTATTCCGAACAAATAGTTTTATTTCTAATGAAAATCTATCGAATAAATCTAAGAGAAATTTTGAATGAATTTTTTCAATGATTTTCCAAATCACACCAAAGATTATACGATTTATTAAATATGAATCTGATAATATGTAGATGTACCTATATATATATATACATAAGACGATTAGAAAGGTTTCTATGAATTCTACGTAAGAATAGATTAATAGAAATTCGATAAAAGTTGATATATCTATCGATCCTATCACATAATCCTACCATTCCCTTAAGATTAAATGGATTATTATGTTCAATCTCGAACGAGATTGCGTAACCAATTATTATCTCTGGTAGATTATATGTACGCATACATAAGACAATGAAATAAGAGTATTTTGTCTCCAATTGTAATTCTAACCAATACGTTTACATTGAAACATATAACTGATATTGGATTTTAATTACAAATTAAACGAATCCGCGATTTTATTTTAAATTTATTTCCTAATTGAACGAAAAATGCATAAATTTATAACTTTTCATCCCACGTATATTACAACTATTACTTTGTTTATCTCTCTTGAGAAGAAAACAAACAACAACAACTAATGAAAAATTTGTCCTATTTAAATATCACGAACGCGAAGCCAAAGATAACATTTGTTCGTACAATTGTTACATGGAATGAAAAAAAAGAAAAAAAAGGTTCCTTTTATTTGTTAGATTTTGTTTCTTTACCTTCAATGCAATCGTAAGACTTCTACCTAGCTAGCTCCCTATTCTTTTTGACCATATTAAAAGAAAGAGAGAGAGAGAGAGAAAACATTTTTCTTTTTCCATTTCACCGACTAACCTTTGTCTTTCTCCTCCTTCCCTTTACTCTCAAAGAATCCTGTCGTGAGTGCCTTCCTCTTGAGCAAATATGCTCGCCTTTTTGGTTTCGTAGCAACCGGCCCACTCCCTAGAGATTCTGAAAAAATTAACAAAAATAAATATATATATATTTTATATAAAAAGAGAACAAGATGGAGAAGAAGATGAAATTGAAATTATATTTCATTCGTTTTACTTAATAAACAGATCTGTTGAAAAGTTTGTTAATTAAATAAATAAATAAATGTACACACAAGAAGAAGAAGAAGAAGAAGAAGAAGGAGGAGAGAGAAAGAGAAAGAGAATACGTTTGAGAAGCGGGTGTTAAAGCAAGTATCTTCGAAAAGCGAGTATAAGTGTCTTTAAATAGCTAAGCGTTTCGCGTTTCGGCCAGACGTCTTGTAACTAAATGGCGCTAGAATGGCTTAAGCGTATACTTCGAAACATTTACGCCAAGGAAGAGAGAAGATTTATTTTCATTCGACGTTACCTCGGAGAAACGCAACACATCGATGCTATTGAAAAAGAGAGAGAGAGAAAGAAAATAGAAAAACACGAGATTAACATCCTAGACGCATAAGTGTACGCCCAAACCCGTGTTACACAGATTTACCATTTGCAACCCACACCAAATGAAATAAAACTTTTAATAAGTTGATCATACAAAAATAATACATTGATTTTTTTTTTATATCATTCAGAAAAATGAATTTCATTGATAAAACAAAATAATTAATTACATCTCGTGTAAATATTGAAAACATTCTTTTTTTCTTCTGAATAACGAAACAGATGAAGAAGAAAGAAAGGAAGTATGGGAAGTATGCGAATTGAAAACAACAAGCTACGCGTTATATACCCGTGTATTTCGTGTGAAATATCGGTTCTTGGGGAAAGAAAAAGAAATAAAGAATACGAACGAGAAGAAAGAAAGTTAAGAAATTTCACGTTGACATCGGAGATAAAGAGGGTACTTCGATGTTAAACTGGATAGGGTTGTCAACGAAAAGAGAGAAAGAGTGGGAGAGAATACGAACCCTTGCACGACCATAAATATGTCAATCATTTGAATATCGCAAAACAACCAAGTCTTGTTTCTAATTATTGTCAATCGAAAAAAAAAACAAGAAATTCTTTTTGTTCTTTCATGCTTTTTCTTCTTATATTTTCTATTCTGTTTCTATTATTTTTTTGGAAAGTAGTAAAAGATTATTCTTATCTTTACCTATTTCATATTTTGCATTATTTTATTCAAAATAAAATGACAACAACGACAAATATTACGACAAAGTTTACTATTATTCCTATAATCGATAATATCGTATTAATATGCATAACACAAGATCTATGGTGTTATCACACTTTTCTGTTTACTTTTCTCTTCCATTGGATGAAAATAAAATAGTTTCGAACAATCTTATTTTTCTTTTCTCGTCTCTTCCTTATTAATAATATAATATATATAAAAGAGAGAAAATGAAGAATAAACAAACAAAAAAATGCATATAATAATATTATCATTAATTTAAAAATGATTTCCTCAGAATTCATAATATATCTAATTAATTATATGAAAAAAGAGAGAGAAAGAAAAATGGCAAAGAGAAATAGCGAAGAAAATTGTTTGTGACCTTGTTTTGTTTTGTTCAAAAGAATAATTAAACAAAAGATATAATACAAGCATAAAGAATAAATAAATTTGTTTAAAAACTCACCGCTCGGGGGTCTTATGTGAACACCTAAATTGAGAGCTTGTAACTTTGCAACGGCAACTCTGCATAAAACTTTTCTTTCTATTTCTGATAAAGAACGCAAAGAAGTATCCTGGAGAGTCACTCGTCGTCCACCTGTGCCAGCCCACGTGCATTTTCCCTAGAAAATATATATATGCATTCTATATAAAAACCCTTTTGATATACATAACTAAAATCAAAAAATAACTCGAAAAGAAAATATTTCAAAATATTTACAAGAACCTTTTTATTAATCATTTTAAACTAACAATGGGATAAACAAATTGACACGCACAGAACACCGATTTTTTTTTATAAATTCTACACAATTGTATGGGTTCATCAAAACGATAAAAGGTTCAAACACTAAGGCCCAATACTTTTTTTAAAAAAGCTTCACGTTTTTATTCTTATAGATTCTAGTTCGTTTTCAGATGGAAAAATAAAAATCTTTTCTTTTACGGTTTAATTAAAGAAAGAAAAAAAGAAATGTGATAAGAAATTAATACTTGGGCGGGTTGAAAAGTTGTGAGCTTAACACAGGGGACAAAAAGGGGTTGAAAAGTTTTAAGTTTAAAAACACGAAGATGAATTGAAAAGTTTCGAACTTTGATGGTTTTTCCACGGCATGTTGTTAAGCTCAAAACTTTTCTGCCCTTTTTTTCCACGTGGTAAATTGAAAACCAGTCAACTCATCGTAGTCGACCTACTTTTTTATTCCTTTCCGGTGTGTGATGAATAAAAAATAATAAATTAATTGATACCTTCTTCTCGAAATTTTGAGAGTTAATCGTTCCAAGGGCCCTTCGAAACTTTTCCTTTTAATAAAAGGTAAGCAAAATTTTGGATAAGAAAGAAATATAGACAAACGTATAATACGGGGAGTGAGAAAAAAAACGACACGTGAAAAAGTTTCTGTAAAATTTCTTAACACGTGAGATATTTTGTCGTTAAAATGTTTCTCACATCAGATCGAAACATTACTCACAAAATGAGTCATTGCCAAAATTCATTTTACATCGGACAATCTATCAAATTATTTCGTTACATTACTGTCGTCGAATTTATATTTATATATGGGTATATTATATATATATGTATAACGTTTCATTGATACAAATACAAAATAATAAAAAATGTGAATTGATGTGTTTTCAAAAATTAGAAATATTATATCGAATACAAATAAATTTCATTAATTCTACTAACACACAAAATTCATACGATAAATAAACTACTATAATTATATATATATATATATATATAATATTTTTTCTAATCGAAACATTTCTCAGATACATACACGCGCGTATATATAAACGAAAATTATATCTTATAATAATATTTTAATCGCATGCGCGCGTGTATTTGAGATGAATCTAAAAATTGATTTTATGTCTAAATGATAAATCCTGGAATAAGTAATAATCGAATAACACTATAGGTGTATCAAGGACGTAGCAAATAAGTAAAGAAACGATGGGGATAGCGCACTTATAGTAATAGTAATAATAGTAGTGTTAGTATTAGTGTTAGTAGTAGTAGTAGTAGTAGTAATGGTAGCAGAGGTTAAGTATAGTTTATACACATCGCCGTTGGCTGACTATTTCGAGCGGCGCCGACAAAATTCCGAGGCCCTAAATTGGTTATCACGCTAACCGCTTAACAAGATCGTCTGCGGCAAGGTCAACCTTCTTTTCTTTTTTTTTTTTTTTTCCTATTTGATACATTACACCGTTTACTTGCTCGTGAAAAATAAAAAAGAAAAAGGAAGAAAAAATCGGATGATATGTAAACGTGCCACCAATATAACAGAAAAATGTTTTTTGATAAATGTCCTGTCTGATAAGAATTCGAATGTCCTATTTTTCTGCGAATGATTTATAATCCGTAGATATATATAGAAGAAAGAAAGAAATTTTTCTATATAAGTTATTCTAATATTTTATCAATTTATTCTTGAAACACTTGCACGCGCACACACATACGTTTCATCATTTATTTCCTATAAATTGGTATATGCAAATGTGATACATTGATTTGATAGATTGTAGAACGATTCGTAGGATTTATTTCATATAGTAGATTGTTAATAACGTTAGATTATTCATCGTTTATCTTTTAGATAAAATAAAAAGCTGAAAAAATGATTAATCTGTTTGACAGTTGTTAGAATCTAAAGATATACACACAAAAAAAAGAAGTAGAACTTAATTTTACTAAGTTGGACGTTTCGTCCCTTTATTGGGACTTCTTCAGCAACTTAATATTTACAGTTCAGCGTCTTTTTTCTTTAATTAGACATATATTTTTATTTTTATTTTTAATATTCGAACACACAAAACATCTACACTTCGTTAAGTATTAATCCGTTGTAATTTTATTTTTGGACGAGAGAAACAACTGATGATTAGATATACACAAATTTCGTAGGATAATATTAATGAAAAAAACAAAAAAGAACTCATTGATTGATAGGAATGAAAACTGACCTGGGGTGTCCAGATGGACGGTTGATTCGATGCCCTCGAAGTACTTTTACTCCTGGACCGCCAAATTTTTTTAGCGACCAACCTGCTACCGTGATGTACCACACTGCTTGAAGATTTGCTCTTCTGCATCGCTGTGCCACCTGAAGAATTTTTCGACGAAGATGTGAGTGCAGGCGAACCCGGTGCCGAATGTGGTTTATCCTTGTGAGTATTGGAACCATGAAGGAGATGGGAAAGAAAGGATTGATGATGATGATGATGTTGTTTAGGAGTTAGGGGTTCTTCCGAACCAAGGCCAGCATCAATGCTGCTACGCGAACTTGCATTTCTACTTGCTGGCGAGGTCGTATCACCGTCCGAAAGATTTTCAGATGGATTTTCGATGGATGACATTTCACGATAATTAACAACCCAATCTTCTGAAGTCTGGCAACCTTTGTTATTGCCATCGTCGTCACCTGGCTTTGTAATTTCTCCTTTAGCCCTGATATTACGAAGATTTCTATCATAATTAACGCGTTTGAACCTATCAACTTTATCAGCATCCATAGATTTTTTCCTAGCCATCCTGAGATACCTTTTAATGGTATCGCTAACCGAAGGTGACACGTCATCGTTGTCAACGCTACTTCGTCTACGAGCACTTGCTTTTCCTATACTCGTTTCACTTTTATTATTATCTTCCTTTTCTCTCTCGAGAATTATAGCATCCAAAACATCCCGGGGAACCGGATCAGTTTGCACGCCATCATCCAATGGTCCACGATCGATACTAGGTTCTTGAACAGCTATCAAAGGAGGTGGAGAAATAGGATCACGTTTGTTCGAGTACCAATCTTCTTCGTTTTCTTTACCCGTATTTCGAGTTCTCTGATGAGCCCACCATCTGCTAGATGGTGAAGTGTAAGCACCGGTTGCCCTTGGTCCTCTGAACCCTCTGGTACATCTCAAATCGAAATAAAGCTTTTCCAAAAGCTTACGATCGGTTAAAATATCCGATATTACTCGTTCCCTAGTTGGTGACTTGCTGTAATAACGACTGAGTGTCTCCATCAAAGATTTATGAACGTAATCACTTTGATATGGTTGATTTAGGGATGATTTAGGTAAATTGTCTCTGTTAATCGACATAGTCTCGTTATTACCAATTATATCATCTCTTTTCGCTTGTGCTACGATCAAATCCAAATGTTGTTGCAACTTATCGATCAAATTCTGATAATCAAAATGTTCTTTACCCTCTATATGATCGATCACGGTAGTTCTATCGAAAGTTTTGGCCGTATCACCGATATCCCCTTGCATGTTCAGGTACTTTTGCAACATATCAGCTAAAACTTTAACATCCGCGTCTTCCTTAGGCGTCCTCCTACGATTAAATACTGGACTGGAAGGTGCGCTACCGCAACTGTCGGATGCCAAAAAAAAATCTCTCTTAGCTTTGGCCAAATCAAATTTGCCAACGGTGGTAGGCTGAAGGACGAATCCTTTAGAAAGATTCCTAATTTCGTCAGCTTCGTCAGCCGAGCTAGCTTTGGCCCTACAACTGCCACCCTTGACACGTCTACGTCGTCTTTGTGAACGAAAACCTAATGTACCGGGATAAGATGATTTCCTCCATAATAAAAAACGGGGTTCCTTTTGACAAACTTCTTGAAAATATTGTTCGATTTTGGGTATATCCTCGGTACGATTGTGAACACCGTCGGGTATCAAACGTCTTCCAGCATCAGCCATATACCTCCATGTTTTCCTAGTCAATAACCATCTCTCTTTGGATGGTTTACTTGAACGTTTAGTTCTACGTTCCTTAGAACCCGGTGGTGTACCATGCAAAGAATTTCCGGCCTCCATACTGTCGCGACGCGAGCGTCTCCTACCGCCAGGACGCTCGGCCATCGTCGCGTCAGGTCCGGTATCCTTTTTCGCAACGCGAACCACTTTCGCGAATATCTTTTATCAATTCGAATCAGATATAAGATCAAGACGATCAATTTCCAATCGTCTAACGGATCCACGTTATTATTATTTTTTTTATGCTAAATCATTGCAACGCACGACACTAAAAACAAATTTCAATTTTACGACCGAAAAAAATAATAATCACTCGTTGACACGTTCCGTCGTTTCACTCTTGTTTCCACTTAAAAACTAAAACGATTATTACAACCTATCGAACTTTTCACAACAACGATAAGTAAGTCCTTTTTATTATACTTTTTTTCTAACAACGAGAGTTGAACTTATCGACGAACGTAGTAGTATGATCGATCGTCGGAATACGGAATGATACATTTCAAATAAAATACATCACCACCATGACGAAATTATAAACGAAATTAATAGACAAAGAATAATAATAATAATAATAATAATAATAATAATAATAATAATAATAACATTCGATCAGGATAACATGTTTTAAATTTCTCAATTATTTTCAACGTAAATATTTCCTCTCAAATATATAATATTACTTCGGTCTATTTAACGTCGCTCGACCCAAATTTAACTTTTTATCGTTGTGAGAAAATCGCGAGTATCTTGACCTGGAATCACACTCAACACAAATCCCCCAACAAAAGATTTATCTAATTCGTTAAAGGGGCAATTCCATTGATATATCTTTTGTTTTCTAAGGACGAAAATTCTTTAGGTTTCTCGATAAAGAATTGGAAAATGAAATTTGTGGTAAGAAACGAAGTTAAGAGAATCGCGAGCCGGCAAGGTGGAAGCTGCCCAAGGTACGCGACTACTGTTCCTCAGGGCGTCGCGACGTTCGTGGACGCTCCGTGTCTAAAAACGTATCTGGCCGGCCCTCTTTGCTCTCTTCCTCCACCAACTCTCGCGCAATAAAACGAACGAGAGTGAGAGTGAGACAGCAAGAGAAAGAAAGAGTGAGAGAGAAAGAGAAAGAGAGAGACCAACTGAGAGAAAGAGAACAAGCTAGTCGAAAAAGAGGTAGGGGGATGCAAATACGACGGCTGATGAAGCAGACCGAGGAAGAGGCTTCTTGAGTGGCTAGAGTAGTCTAGAAAAACCTGGGACGGACACGGTAGACTAACCGGAGATGATGCCGTCTGTAGTTGTCATCATCCTTTGGCAAAAATACACATGATGTCGCCTTTCTATCGATGATTCGACATCCATCAGATATTTTATAATTCAGTGTTCTGTTCTATCCGATTATTCCAACTAACATTTTTGGATACTTCATATATACCTATCGAAATGGTGAATACGAGAATACATAATGATTATAATCTCACGTTGATTATTTCGCATACGAAAAAGAATCTGATTTATTCTGTGTGCCAAAATATCCAAACAGAGTCATTCATAATCAATGCATTACTCTATTAAGGACACCTAATAGAGTGTTTAAAGAAGATCGTAGCTGTGGGCAAAGAAGTTGTCATCGGTTGCCAAATAACATGGCAAGTTTTACCAAGACTGGACCACATCTAAGATAGTATACTCTATCATTGTCAAACTAATATTGAGAGAAGAATCAGTCTTCGTTTGATATTCAATAAACTCTTTTTTTTCTCTCTCTCACTCTTTTCTGAACATCTCTTTTCATAAATTATTTCTAAAGAAACATTGTGATATTTTAAATTCATTATGTAAATTTATGAGCTAGGAAAATTACCTGATCGTCATTGGTTAATCGAAAAAAGTGTTGATTTCAATTTCTCTACCTATGATTATAATATGAGACAAAATATATACTTTTGATCTTGACATTGCATATTAAGTGAAAAGAGAAAAGTGGACACCTGCAGTGACGTTTCATTAACTTGGAATAAAAACAATGAGAGAGAAAGAGAGAACAGAAAAAAAATAGAAGAGTCCTATCCAATATTGAGTTGGTGCGTTGCTGCTTTTAACTCTTCAGTCATTTTTTTTTTGTTCTTTTTTTTTTTTATAAAAAGGAACATCAAAGGTGATGCAAAATTTATGTTTACTCAAACGTCAACGTAAAAAGAATAACTCTCTGCATATACCACCTGAAAAACAACAACTAATTCATCACTCGACAGTTTTAATCTACAACTTTGTTCTTTTTTTTCTTTTCTTTTCTTTCTTTCCTTTCTTTTCTAATTTTCTTTTTTTTTTACGTATAGCAGAAAGAAAAAACCATACGCACACAAGTCTATAAATCTTTTCAAATGAGATACAACGTGTTTTTAATGTTCACGTAATAAACTCAACACGTGTTCCTCGTATCAAAATCTACAGTTCAACTGTTAAGTTTTACCTAATTTATTTGTGTGCGTGCGTGCGTGCGTGCGCTTACGTTTCCTATTTTAAATGTGGGACACATTTCTCGAAGCAATCCTAATGACGTGGAACCATAAAAAATAATCATGGCGAAAGATTACCCAATACATTACCAGGGAAAAACTATTTTCAGAATTCCATTCTTTGATGCAACATTATATCGGATCACTATGTTAATCTCTTATCATAGTAAATATTTTACTTTTTTTTTTTTTTTAATCTCATCTCGAACCAATGATTAATTGACTTAATTAGATGAAATAATTCATGCACAAATTGTCAACTGTCTTTGAATAGAATGAACTTGATCGCATGATTCAATACGGAGAAGTTAAGGTAGCACTGGGCTCTAGATTATTCAGATGCCAATGAACCGGAACACGTCCATTATTGGAATGCCGCCTATCTGGAATAGATATCAGCCGAAATAGCACAAACAGGTCATAACCCCTTAACAATGCCACCTAAATCTAGCCTTGTTCGATAAAGATTCCACTCTATATTGGCTTGACCTAAAGTAACCTTTTCCAAGATTCAAATATATCGAGTTTATTAGAGATTTAATCTTAGATAATTTTAATTTTCAATCGAAAAGATTTTAGAACGTCGAGTTTAATTTCACAATTGCATTAAAATCTTAAATTCGACATTATTTCATGAAATTATTCTTTTTGGAATAATTTTATTTGATTATTTTTCATTTGATCATTTTATTATAGAAATTCATTGAAAAGAAAAAAAAAAATGATTATATTTCCAGATATATATACGCATTTAGAATATTCCAAGGAGCTTTAAAATATCGAGACTAAACGATCTAAAGAATGTAAAAGAAACTATCATGTTATAAACGATACGAAAATCGCATTCTGGAATACACGAGTACTATAAATACAAGAAACTGCAGTCTCTACTAGTATCCACTTTTAATTCTCGATGATGGATTTAGGTAGACTAAAAACGTGCCGAGTTGTCATCGTACGAGATTTAACGATCGATTGACCGACGAACGTACTTACTTACGTATGTACAAATATTTTCTTAATAACCCTGACAGTCGCCTAGTCACGTATCATCACTTCCACTTAAATATTTCCGATTCAATTCTAATATATGAATAATAAGTAATAAGAGAAAACCTTTTTTTATTTCATTCTACAAGGTGATCCAACAAATTTGTCAATAATATTCAAAATCGATTGTTCATTTTCAAGGTCTTATAAAAATTGAGAAATTGTATGAGGTATTTTGATAATTTCAAAACTTAAATCAACTTCAAACGTCTCGAAACGATGTAATTGATTTTCAAAATTTGGCTACGAATTTTTATTCCCAGCCTGTGTATTTCCATTTAATTTATTTTAAGAAAGAACCCTAATCGTTTCTCTCTCTCTCTCTCTCTATCTATTTATCTATCTTTACTATAGATTAATATTAATCTTAATTCATAATTATTCATATGGATTAAAATACATCGTTATTCTACAAAAGCTCGAATATCAATGCAGGCTCACAATTTATTGATTTTGTAAATGAATATTCCAAAATGAATATACCCCTTTAGTTAAATATCTATATTTTCTATTTCATTCATGGGGATGAAGAAGAAAAGAAAAAATTATGAAAATTGTATTGAAATATCAGTATAAAGCTAAAAACTTACCCTTACGTGTAAAAAACAATAAAACGTTTTCGAATATAGCAATACAAAAAGTTATTATAACAGGACAAAATCCTAATTAAAAAAAAAAGAATTATTAAAATATAAATTAAAGAGATAGATCTTTATAATATAAAATACATATTATATATATACATATATCACTTTATATATATATATATATACATATGTTATTAAAGTGACAAATCATCCACGTGAACAAATAATCAATAGAAATAAACAATAGTCTAGAAATGTGTGTTTCAAAGTGTTTTCTGTTATTAAGTGTCGGTGAAGATAAACAAATCGTTATAAATGATCTAACTTACGTAATATTTGTCGAATAATACTATCGATAGAAAGTTAAATAGATCGATCTATCGTGTATTCGATCTGACGCGTGTCTGGCTGTCGAACGATATCAAAATCCATAGTGTTCGACTCATAGTCAGTGTCATCGATTGATCCTCTCTCTCTCGCTATTTTCGAAACGAAGGCAAAGCCACGAGAACCCTATTCAAAATAAGATTTCGTGCATCAACACGCGAAAGAGGGAGAGAGAGAGGGAGAGAGATGGAACATAGCAAAATAAGCGTCAAGAATGTTGTCACGCGATCGCAACCTCGTGATTATTGTATCAACGTGATCCTTTACCGAATTTTCATTCCACTTCGATTCTTTCTCTTTTCTTTTCTTTTTTTTTTTTACTCCTTTCAAATTTATGATCCAATAGAAAGAAGAACAAAATAAATACATTTTTTTTATCAATATAAATCTCTACCCCCACGGTGTATAACTATTATTTTTATTTGAATTCAAATGAAATGTTTTATGACACGATTTTGAAATAAAACATGTTAATATTAATTTTATTGTTTGATCAAATATTTATTTAATTTACAATTCAAACGGTTTCATCTCGAGACGTATATTAAAATAATAATTATTAGAATATTTAATTATTACTTTTATTATTTTGTCTTTTCTTTGAACGTAAGCGAACAAGAAAAATAGCAAGGGGGAAAAGAAGGAAAAAAAGGTTGCCTTTAATGAAGAATTCTAGATTTTT